CCCTGGCATGAGAAAAGATGGGGGGGGGGTCCCCCCAAGCATGAGGGTTGCACGAGGGAGCGCACGGGGGTTCGCAGATCCTGCGGATTTGCTGGTGGTTTTTGCTCCAGAAACCCTATTTTTTCCCCTTTATTTCCAAGCCAGCCAGACCTCCCTGCTGCTCCTCTTAGGCTGAGCTTTGGGCTTTTAACCTGTTGCTTTTAGCTCCGGCCAAGGCCCTGGGCTGGCTTCTTTCCAGGGAAAATGAAATGGGGGGGACTTTTGGGGAGCATGCGGGATCCCTGTGAGATTTCAGCTCCACAGTGGAGTCTGAGCTTGTTCAGGATTCAGCTCCTTTGGCTCAAACCCTAATTTCCACCTTTTTTATTATCACCTGGGGCTTCTTGCAGATGCAGCAGGGGGACCCCCCAGGCTCAGGGACCCACAAAGATGCTCCGGCTGCCTTGGGATTGAAAAATGGGGAGGAAAAAGGGGTAAAATAACAGCATGTGCCCCCAGTTTTAGTCCATTTGTGGAGGAAAACCCGAGCGCGGTGTTGCAGGGAGTGGGAAGCCATTTCCCAGCAGCTTCCCAGCTTTTCTACGGTTTGAGCAAAGCAACTGCAACCTTAAAATAGCTGCTTCGCAGGCAGGCAGCACCATTCCCGCTCCTCTCGCTGCCATGGCCTCGGCAGCCTCGTAGGTTTTTGCAGCCAAAATAATAAAAATTGCATGAGTTTGTGTGGTTTTCGGCTTTTCTGCTGCAGCTTGGGGTGTGTGGTTTGCTCCCGGTGTGAGGATGGTTTCGGGGAGGTGGCAATTAATGAATTAGTGCAAATGCGGAAGGTTTCTATCCACACCAGTCTCTGTCTCTCATTATTTCTGTCCTCACCCTCATCGGCAGAGGTAAGGACTCTATTTAATTGCTCGCTATTCCTATGGACGAGGCAGGTTTAAACCCTCCTTGAAAGCTTGTTTATTTATAGATCCCACATTATTTAGGAGGGGGGTCCCCTTGCTCTGGTCTGCTCCCACGGTGCCTCCCACCAGCTGCTCTGGGGCTGGTTTTCCTTTTCTCTCCCAGGTTTTGGGGGGATCGTGCCGCGTAACAGGGTGGGGGCCACAGGAGCATCTGCGGCTCATTTTAGATGGGAAAATAACTGGGGTATGCGCTTTGAAAGCTGAACAAAGGGCTCTGAGCTGATTCAGTGCTGCTAATCCTTCCTCTAGCTGCTTGTTTCCTTGACTGACTGCCCTTGCACGTAGCTGTCATCATTAGGTTCCAGGGTGAACGAACACCCGCACAGTGCAAAGAAGGTGGGTCGCCCAGTTATCCCCTGGGACAATACTGATCTCAGTGTCCCAGCTTTGATTTCTTGGGGTGCCTGTGGTCCTTTTGCTGCCCCACGCTCCGTTCTCAGCTCCAGGCATTTACACCACACATTGGCTGCTGCCAATTCAGGTGCTGTGTCCCAGCCTGTCGTGGCTTGTCAGCAGCGACCCAGCGGCAAGATTTGCTGGCAAAACCAGTGGGTAAGGTCAAAATCCTCCCAAAATCCAGCAAACTGTGCAAAAAATCCCAGTGATAAATCAATGGGGGCCGTGACACCCGTCCTTGCAGCCGTTAAATGGGGCATTAAGCTCTTCCAGCAAGGGGAAAAAAAGATATCTTTAATTCAAGAGCAATTTGCTGATCAGCCTGGCATCCTGGGAGCCCTTTACGCCACGTGGGCTGATTCCCACGGAAGCACCAGCTGAACCGAATTTGGGCTCGGGTGGCACAAGGGCATCCCAAAACGGGCTTTTATCGCTTCTGACTTCAACCAGCTTTCCTGGCTGCTTGGCAGCTGGTTGTTAGACAACCTGGGAAAATGTGAGAGAGAGACAGAGAGAGAGAGATGTATATATATTTTTTTTTTCTGTTTTCAATCTAATTAATTTATTTCTTTTGATCTCGCTGATCAGGAACTGTTGTTCCCTGCCTCCCCTCCTGCCCCCCGCCAGGAGTGATTTAATGACATTTTCCTGTGGAGCCGCGCAACCAGTTTTCAACTGGGGAGGAAAAAAACTACCGAGGCGGTGGCGGAAAAACGCTCTGCTGGGACAGAAAAAGGAGGAGGTAAAAGAAAACAACCAAAAAAAAGGACAAATTGGAAAAAATGAGACAGCAGGCAGGGAGGGGATGCGGGACCCCCTGAGCCCGATGCTTTGGGGGTCAGGGCTGTCCCCCAGGGATGCTTCCCGGCATTCGGCTGCACGCCAGGGCGTTATCCCGGCGGGGCTGGCCAGCCTATTTTCCAGGCGAGGAAATATTTAACTGCGGCGTCAGCAAGCAGGGCAGGCGGGTGCAGGCATGGAGGGTGACGGCCAGCACCCGGCCCCCACTGCCCCCCCAGACCGACCCCATGGCGAGCGCCTGCAGCTCCTGCTGCGCCGCAGCCGGGAGGCCAAAAACTGTGCCTATTGCCCTTACAGCCGCTTCCCAGTGGGCGCCGCGCTGCTCACCGCCGGCGGGGAGATCTTCTCTGGTAAGCCGGGGCCGTGTGACCCCCCTCTTGGGTTTTGGGGGTCCCTCCTGCAACCCTTTGGCCATGCATGGGGGTGCAGTGGGGTCAGCATGGGGTGCTGGGGTCCCCGTCGTCCCCTCCCAGCTGCTTCTTGGCAGCCGTCACCCCTGTGCGAGCCAAAGATCGCGGCGGATGGGAAAATATGGGAAATAAATAGGGGAAGTGGGAACGCGTTAGTGAGAGCCTGGGATCAGGCGGTGCACACCGAAAAATGGCTTTTCTTTGCAAATCACCTAAAAAAAAATATCGCCTGGAGGGAAGCCAGCAGGGTTCGGGGTGGCTGAGTGAGTGCAGGGGTCTTCCCCGCAGGGTGCAACGTGGAGAATGCCTGCTACAGCCTGGGGGTGTGCGCCGAGCGCACCGCCATCCAGAAAGCCATCTCCGAGGGACACACCAGCTTCAGGGCCATGGCCATCGCCAGGTAAGGGTACGCTGAGAGCCGGCATGGCGAGGGATGGGCGGGGGGGGGGGCAGCGGGAAAACCCTTGGTGCGCCCAAGGGGCAACTTCTGCTGCAGCAGCCCGAGTGTTTTTTTGGGGGGGAGGCAGGTTTTTGCGTGTTTTTTTGGAGGAAGTGGGGGGAAAATGTGCCATGGCTCCGTATTTATTGGTGCGTGAAGGTCTTCTGCAGATGTCCCCCCAATCCTCTGACCGCAAGACTGAACTCTCTGCACTTCTCCTTTGGCAGTGACATGGGGGACCAGTTCATCACACCCTGCGGCGCCTGCAGACAAGTGATGAGAGAGGTGATGGCTCGCGCGGGGGCCCCACGTCTCCTGACCCCAGGCATCTCCCCCTGAAACACGCAGAGGTGCAAAGAGGGGTGGGGGGGTTGCAGCCTCCTGACCCCAGTCCCAGGGCTGGCTCCGGGTTCCTCAAGTTGCACTATCCGCTGGGAAAGGGGTATCGCTCCCTGTCCCACGGGAGCAGGTGCCCGATGGTAATCCATTAACTTGCCCTCCCCAGGGGGTTTTATTCCTCCCGGGAGCTGCTGGGTGCAGAGTTTGGCCCCAGGGCCGCCGCCACAGCTCTGGCAAGCCTGAAAATGGTTTTTTTTCCTGCAAAATCCAAGCCCCATGCAGAGCCCATCCTGCTCTCGCTTCCCTCCTCCCCACAGGCACCCTGGCACCCGCAGCCCATTTTTGGGTGGTTAATATTTAACAGGTCGCGGGACTCAGCTTGAAGGCTGGATTTGGCAGGTTCGGAGGTACCAGGGCTCGCGCTGGGGGGGCAAAACCACAGGATCTGAGCCCAAAATCCCCGCTGGGGTAGGTGATGCCGAAAAGCCGCCCCAAAATACATGTAATAGAGGGGGATGCTCCCCGTGAACCCGGGTAAAAAAAGGACTATTTGAGTAATTTGAGGAAGAAGCACAGGTTTTGCATTGGGCACTTCTCCCTCCCTCTTCTCCTCCAGTTCGGCACGGACTGGGACATCTACCTGACCAAAGCGGACGGCACCTATATCGTCAAGAGGCTGGAGGAGCTGCTGCCGCTCTCCTTCGGACCCGAGGATCTGAAGAAGGTGTGAGCAGCGCGGCCGCTGCCGGCCTTTGCCCTTTGGCAGCAGGGGAGAGGACGGTTTTCCCCAATTTTCCCAGCGTGTAAGCGGCTTTTTGGGGACGATGCAATGGGAAATGTGTTTATAGTGTTAAGTTACCCACTCCTCTCGCTCATCTTCTGATTCAGTGCTGATTTGCAGATGCTGGCCCCACCTTACCCCAGGGAAATGGAGAAATTAAATCACAGAAATTCCTTTTTACTAGAAAAAAAGTGTCCAGATATCGCTGTAGGCGAGAGGGGACTTCACAGATGGAGAAGGGTTTGATGCACGGCTCCAGCTCGGGCTTGTTGGTACAGAAACCACTCCGGAATAATGCAAAATTATTGCTTGGGAAAATGCTGAATTCTTCAGCTCTAAATTTGAAGCAAAAAGGAAAGGCTCCATCAACCCCAGCAGCTATTTATAAGCTAATTCAGATTAGGCGATTTACTGGAACTGGACAGTTATCACACTGAGCGTGTCCTTTGCTTGTTTCTCTCTGGCTTGTTTTCTTTGCTTTCATTCCGTTTATGGGGATGAAGAGGGAGAGGAGTTTTTGAGGGTTTCTGGAGAGTTTTCCGTCTCCAGAGTAGTGCCGTTTGCTGATTGTAATATTAATTTAATGATGCACAATGAAAAACAAATGCGCTCCATTTCCCAGCCAGTGCTGGGTTGGGCATTACTGCCTATGCCCAAGCAAAATAAAAGCAGTCCTGGTTTATCTCCTGTAGGTGCAGCAAATGATGAATCACAGGGGACGGGAAGCTGGGGCCCTTAGGTACGGCAGGAGGGTGCTGGCTGCGCA